TATATATATAACGAGAATAAGATTTATCACATATTTCTCCTCCGAAAATTTTAAATACACATAATAAACAATTAATAGAAAAAAAATACAGATTTAAATATTGTCTTCAATTTTTGTCTTATTATTACATATATAAAATTCCATTTTATTTGTTTCATTTACATTAATCTCGATCTGTATTTGTAGAATTAATAAATCTACATAAAGCGTGAAATTGTTATGCGTACAAAATTTCTTTTTAACGGTAACAACTTATAAAAAAAATTTAGAAATACCGTCATAATTCTCGGTATCATGCCATTATTTATTTTATGTATAAGGTCCTGATTGATATAATGGAATGGAATGTCGTAGGAATGAAATGAATTGAAGAATTGAATGATTATGAGAATGGAATGAAACAAGTTTTGTCATTGATGCGTTTGGTATGCAGAAGGAATAAGACCTGAATGAAATGACATTATCATTTTTTATTATAAAAATAAAAAAAATCTTATTTATAAAATAATATATTTTTAATAAATTATATGTAAATGCTTTTTTTTAATAATATATAAAAATAAAATAATATATTTTTTAATATTATAAAAAATAATATATTATTAAAAATATATAAAAATAACATATATATAATAAATAATATATTCTTAAAAGTAATATATTTTTATATATAAAAAATAATATATTTTTAATAACATATAAAAATAGAAAGTAATATATTTTGATAATATATATTTTTATTTTTTAATTAAACAATAAATAAAAGTAAGTTTTTAATTTTTTATTTGAATTTTATTTTTTAAAATAATATATTTTTAATAATAAATAAAAATAAAAGTAATATATTTCTAATAATATATATTTTTAATATTTTTTAATAATATATTTTTAATAATATATTTTTCAAAGTAATATATTTTTAATATATAAAAAGTAATATATTTTTAATTATATAAAAATAAAATAATATATTTTCAAATTATATATAAGTGCTTTTTTTAGTTTTATTTTTATATAAGTATTTAATATATCTAATTAAACAATAAATAAAAGTAAGTTTTCAATATTTTTATTTTAATTTTATTTTTTAAAATAATTTTATTTATTATATTTTATTAATTATATATAATATATATTATATATTTATTTTTTATTATTATTTGTTACTTTTATTTTTTGAAAAATTGATTCCTACACATATGAGAATGAGAAAACCTTTCATGAACTGTGGAATGACTAATACATGGAGACGGGTTTTGTCATTCCCATTGGAATGATCATTCCTTTCCAAAAAATATACCAATCATGGGATAAGAAATGACTAAGGGAATGATCATTCCATTGCATGTCATTCCCTCATACCAATCATGCCATAAGTGGTAAATTTTCTCTCAAAAAATTTATAATATTTTTATTTAGGCCTATGATATTTTAGATACTTTTATATAATATTTTATCATATCATATTATATCTATATATATACATATACACGTATATATACATATTAAATTTGAATATTTTTAAACATGTTTTCTTTACAACAGAGATTAGAATACATATTTCATACAAATGTTAAATGTTTTTAAACATGTTTTCTTGCCAAAATAGTTTAAAAAATTTGTAGGTGACTTCACATCTTTTAATAATAATACATAAACTTTTACATACTTTTACATGTTTTAATATTTTAAACATGCAAACTTTAGGTTCTCTTATACAAGTTAATTTTATATTACTGATAATAAACTGGTATAGAACGATAAATTATATCACATGTTAATACCACATCTTTAATTTATATATTTTTTTTTTTACTTTTTAAATAAGGATAATGGTTCCCCACCACTCGAACTCGAGGCCTATTTATAATTATTATTTAATATTATTTACTTGTGCAAAACACGGGCTACGTACTAGTACTAAAAAAAACACACAATTTGAAATAAATATATATATCAAAAGCTGGATATAATCTTAAGACCAGAATAAATACTCCGATGATACCTTTTGTTCCTAATGAAGAGACCAATCATCTCCATGAAAAACAGAACCCATTTTTTTTCTCCCAGGTCACTCATTTTTGCTACACAATGTCAATGAAAATGTACAGCATACTACCATGCTGTCCACCTTTCCTAAGCCTTCTTTGAACTCATAATGCCTTCTTTTTAACATGGTAGGGGTATTTTTGGTAGATCGATATGCTCGTGACGACTAATGGGAAAGCCACAAGGCAGTATGGAGAGGGCGGTTTACCGTCAAAGACGAATTGGAGCAGGGCCGTCACCAGAAGGGCAGAAACAATAACAAACCCCTGTAAAACCATAGGAATTTTGAATAAAATAGCACCCAAATAAGACAAAATTTGAAAAATATAAGTTACAATTACTCCTGTTGGTGTATAGTTCAATTTTTTTTAAAGGAAATAAATACACTTCAATTAGTTTTTAAAATTACACATTCTGCACCATCACAGTTCTGTTTTACGATATTCCCCTCTTGGCCGAGCACTTCAAAAACTAACGTTCTGTAAGTACCTCAGGGTTATACTAACAGGTTCTCTAGTCAGGGCATTATCATAAATATCCCCAACTAATTACAGCAACTAAAACTGACTTGATGGCCACTGAACCAAAGCCATTATCAAGAAGTTTACCGAACCCTGGGATTTTTCAAAATGGGAATCTAGTGCTATGTCACCGTATACTAAGGCAGTGTGTTACTTAGAAAATCAAGAAATCCAGTATGATTTATCTACAGTAGAAAGATATCAAATCCTGTAGGTTTCCAGCAAAACATGGCTTAATCGTTTGTAAGAACCTATCACTATCAATTTGGAAAATGTCTAAAACCGACCTTTCGGACACCACCAGCATACGATGTCACAAGCCCAACAAGAATTCCACCAACAGCATTGAGTATGACAGGAATCTGCAACAGAGTCGTGAATCTCAAAATTATATACTATCCAGCAACATCCAAATGTTACGCATTCAATGTGAAATTCCAGAACAGAGACAATTTGTTACTTCATAGTTCATGATAATATTAATTTTCCCAAATTCAAGCACATTACGGAGTCCAATAATGCACATTGAATGCTCAACTATCAGTTGCAAAGTCAACAACTATCCCAAGTAGAATTATCGTGATTTAGAAACTCGAGATGAGAAATTATAAGATCTTTACCCATGTCAAAGGAGTCCACCCATAAAAGAAGCCATGCCGTCTGATAGCCAAACCATCAGGAGACTTGTACGCACTCGCTAGCATGCAAAGACTCCCAATTATAGACATCTCCACAGTCATCAGGTATGAGGTATGTTTTTTAACCTGCATTTAAATAAACATAAAACAGATGATCAAATTTTCCATCAGAAAATTGAAACTTTAGGAACAGAACATGAAGAGAAAATTTGATTACCTGGGATGCCCACTGACACAAAGCAGAGGCCAGGCCTGAGAGCAAGGAAGCCACTAAGATAGGGACAATCCCATAGAACAAAACTTCATCAGGATTACGAGAGCTTGATGCTGTACTGGTACCTTCACCAATGCTTAGAAGAATAGCGGCTATTATCAACAAAAAGAGAGCCCCAATCTGTTGAATGGACTGTCTTTGCCTGTTTACAGTTACCGAAGGAGGAGGCTTATGAGGGGTCCCGTTATTCTAATAGAAAAATGAGGTGTTTACGAAAATTCCTGCAATTTTTTAGCTCTACTATTGCAAACTACAAATAATAAATTAGCCAAAACCTGGGGAGAGTTTGAAAGATATCTGGGTTATTATATTAGGAAAACCTAAGGGGGTTTGTTTGAAAATAACCCATGGTAAAAGATACTAATAACAAGAAAGAAATAAAATAAAGGCAGGCATTCAATTTTGACCAGTGATATTTTGCAGCTTTGCACCAAAAGACGGATATAACCATATCTAGTTTCAAATAGTAAGTTCGAAACTGAGAGCACATGTAAAGGGAATGCAGTTCAAGTTGCTACAGCATATTGTTGCAAAGGAAAAAAGTTAAAAGCACACATGTTCTTTACTTTCAACCTGATATCATCGTATCATGCAGCATTACTACTAACATGAATCCCAAGAAAAATCCAAGTGAGAGATACCTTAATATGATATAAGTAAACAAGGCGGTGAAAAATAGTTTTGTCTGGTTCAACATTGAGAACGTGAGGGAATCAAGATTTCTATATGAGATTTGCAACAAGCTGTTTTGAAGTGCGTATATGGCTGCCGGCAACCCCGATGCAGTCAAAGAGCCCATCAACGTCCACTCTTTGCATAGCTTTCTCAAACTTCCATCTCTAGCCAAGAGCAACAGAGCACAAATCACCTAACATAGTTTGAAGTTCCAACGACTTAAGTTCATACAAACCACTACTTGCGTAAAGAGTATAGCAAAAGGGGAAAGACAAGAGTTACCTTTACCCCCTCACAAGCCAGAACAGATGAAGTTACAATAACTTCCCGTCTGTATCAAGAAGAAAATACAAAAAGTCTGTGACTTGAGAAAGAAAGACCATTCTACAGGTATTTAGAACTTCACCGCAGTTCAGAGGTGAGAAACCACATAGGACAAACAATACACAAAAACAAGAATTTGTAAAACCATATATGTAATTGGCTGAAACATGGAATTCACATATCCCTTCAAATCCAAGATATGTATATGAATGGCCAAAAAAAATTTAATTTTGGGGAAAACAAGACAATCTCAACAAACAAATCATGCTATCATGGATAAAAAATTGTCCTGCCTCCACAGATGTGGAATTTTCTACGAGACTTGATTTAGGTACATGGATTGCATAAGAAACAATCAGTGATTCAAAAATAACTTTGCCAGGGCAAATTGGGGTATGAAGAGTTATATCGCCAGATCAACTGCTTGTCAGTGAACTAAATAGCAATCAAGTATCATAGAATCACAAATAATGTAAGAACAATAAACATTCATCTGAAATCATCGATAACAATGACTAACTTCCTCGAATTTGCTTCTTCATTTTGTAAGAAGAATAAATTAAACTTTTTCTAGTTTTTACAGAAGAATTTTGGTTCTGGAGACAGCCCATGAAATCTGTAGAGCACTTTGTTCCACAAACAAAATCTTGTACATTCAGAGACAGAAACAGCATAACTTTGCAGTCTCATTAGCAAACAATGACCTCTTACGCCTCCACTCTCCATTTTAATTTACTCTTCGAGCCAAGAAAACAAAAGGGATCATTCTTTTTTCCACAATAATACCAATTTCACTGAATAAAAGCAAATAGTTTCCTCTAAAAGGTAGTTGGGTACGCACCAATGCAAGCCAACCATCAATTGAAGAAGGCAAGAACATGTTATTACCAACTATACACAATTAAAAACTAAAACCAAAGTAGTTTGCAAATTAGTATCCGTTGACTTGAAACAGTAGAGCGAAAAAGGAGGAAACTAAAAACAAGAATTACAGTGAAAAACGAAGAACAATTAACAACCTGGTGAAGCGTTTAGATATGAGAGGTTGAGCACCGTACTGGAGCGTCAGCAGCAAAGAAAAAAGCCACACCTTTGTTCCTGAATTCCGATCCGGGCTGATCGAGGCGGGCTTCGGATGTATGGGCCTCTCGATCGCCATTGGTTTGGCGATCGGAGATTTTGAGCACAAAACAAAGATGGTGTATTGGTCTTTGATTGTGCTTTTCTTTTCCGTCGGGGGTCCATGAAAAGGAATAATAATAATAATAATAATAATAAAAAGGGAAGAAAGAAAAATTATGAATTCCTTACATATGATAAACGGACTAACTCTAGCGAATTTCGAGCTAAATGGTACAGGCTTAAAAAATTTGAATTTAAACGGGCTATCAATAAAAAGATTTAACATTAACCCTAGTGGGCCTCGGACTAAACGAACTATGCGAGGTATATTAATTATAATAACAATAATAATATCAAAAAAATCAAAAATAAAAAAGAATAAAAAAATATATAAAAATTTACAACGGGTAGTCAATGATTGTTTTCAACAGCTATTTAGTATTTGTCGCTCTATATATACAACTACACATCATATATGAACACACAATACAAAACCTCAAATAACAAATTTTTTCGAAAGAGAAAAAAAAAAAGTATTCGAACTATTACTTACAGTCAACATTTTACTACTTATTTTGTACGCTTTGAGAATTTTCACGATATTGTACCATTATAAATTCTATCACTATATTTCATGTATTAAGTCTTTGTCTCATGTGTTTCCTATTAGTCGTTCTGATTGGCTTATGTGAAATACAATAACAATATTGATAATAATACCTTTAGAGATGTTAAACGGTCCTTGGCCCGACGGGCCGGCCCGTTTAGCCCGAAAAAAAACAGGGTTAGGACCTTTTTTTAGTAGCCCGTTTAAATCAGGGCTTTTTAGGCCCGGACCGTTTAAACCGAGGCCCGATAGGGCTAGCCCGAAGCCCGCTAGGGCTAGCCCGTTTAATTTGTATATTATAACTCACTATTCTACTTTATATGTAACTATGAGCTGTAGCCGGTTATTGTGATTTTGAAAGATAATTATTAACTATTTCGTTACTTTACTTTACACCAAATTATTTAAGTCAATTAGAACGGCTAATGAAAAATACATGAGACAAAGGCCTAACACATAAAACATAGTGATAGAATATAAATTCAACATTAAGATACAATATCGTGAAAATTTCCAAAGCGTACAAAAATAAGTAGTAAAATGGTAATTATAAGTAATAGTTCGAACATTTTTTTTTCTTTTGGGAAAAACATGTCACTTAAGAGTTTGTAATGAGTGTTCATACATGAAATGTAGTTGTAGTTGTATACATATAGAGCGGTAAATACTAAATAGTCGTTGAAAACAATCGTGAATTAGCCGTTGTAATTTTTATTAATATATTTATTTATATATTATTATTATAGTCTGTTTAGCCCGTTTAGCCCAAAGCCCGCTAGGGTTAGGGTTATGTCCTTTTATTGGTAGCCCATTTAAATCCGGGTTTTTTAGGCCCGGACCGTTTAGCCCGAAGCCCGTTAGGGCTAACCCGAAACCGCCAGGGCTAGCCCGTTTAACATCTCTAAATACCTTTCAAAATCATAATAATCTGTTATAACTTATATTATATGTGAAGTGGAATAGCAAAATTATAATATAACGGAATCTAAGAGCATATTACTACTAGCTGCAGACATTTACACCGTACATCTCTAGTTAAACGAGTTAGCCAAAATGGGTTTCGGTCTAGCCCTAACGGGCTTTTCGGGCAAAACGATCTGAGCCTAAAAAGCCTGTATTTAAAGGGGCTACCAATAAAGGGCCATAACCCTGTTTTTTTCGAGCTAAACTCGGCCCGTTGGGTCAATGACCGTTTAGCATCTCTATACAAGACAATACATTAATTCTTTATTTAATTTTTTTATACTCGATTTCATGCTATCAGTCTGGGCCCTTGTAGTTGGGCTCTCGGGTACTTCGAGAGTTAAACTACGAGATGTGTCTTGCTGCCAGTCGTACCACTGCCCTTTATACCCTAGCGCTTCAGAAGGTCTTTATACCCTAGCATCGCGAAAGGTCTAATGTCACAAAGGGAGTTGGCGGATGTAGTTTTTAGCTCATTGGAGAAGGGAGTTTCGAAATCAGCTTATTGGGTTTTGGTCTTGCTTTTCTTGGGTTCGTTGTGAATCCACGGAAGACGTTCCTATGAATAAGGAATTTACGGTTGGAGGAGGGCTTTATTATTGCTATTGTTTGTTTTGTTGTTAAGTTCTGTGTTTGTTTTGTGAATGTGTGTTGTTTTGTGAGAGTGTGTTTGTTGTAGTGCTTTTCTTTTTTCTCCTCTCTAGGATTGTGTATTCTCCAATAGTGGGAGTGTGTGTGTGTGTGTGTGTGTTTTTTTTTTGGTGTGTTTTGTATGTGTTTGTGTGGTGGAATTTAAGCTAGAGTAGGCCTAAAATTTGAACTAGTGTGTGGCCCGTGCGATGCACGGGAAACAATATTACGATTGTGTTATAAATTAAATATACAAATAAATTAATTAAGATTTGCCCATCATTTTTAAATTAAATCGTGTTGGACACAGTCCCACCGAATGGACCGAAACCATTTTATAATCAGTCTAGTTCACTTGAATAAAATATTTGCTATTAAATCCGTCAACACCAATCGGTTGAATTGGTAGGATCAATACGATTTTCTAAATAAATTTGGATATTTAAAATTATTTTAAATAAAATTACATATTTAAATAAAATAGAGATTTATAAATTGTTTATCAATTAATTCAAATATTTGAATTTCTAAATCGTTTAAATATTTAAGTAACACATTTTATTCAAATTTATTACAAAAAGTACTATATATATGTATATTAAAGCGTATTTTTAAAGAAAAAAATTAAATTGTATGATTTTTATAAATTAATTTGTATAATATATTAGAACGTACTTATAAATTAAATTGTATGATTTTTAAAGAAAAAAAATAAGAAAACTAATAAAACTACTATTTATGGGCTGCATTAAATGCTGACCTATTTTTTTGCTACTAATTTTAGTAAATAGGATGACTCTTTATATAAGTATAGATTCAGTTGTGTAGCTGGTTTGTTTGGCTAGCTAGTCGCTTGTTGTTGTAAGTATTTTTACGGAAGTTAAATCGAAAGATTCGAACACCGGGTCGTATCGCAAGGAAGGTTTGCCAGATTAATTGTACGGATATTCAATCACAAGAAAAGAAAAAAGAAATCCTAAACATTCTAATTCAAGATTGTTGGTTTGCTTTTTTGACTACGAATTGTAAAAACAAGACTAGAAATTCTCAACTCACAATTTAAAGCACGAATTCAAATAATGAATAAAGGGGCTAAGGTATCAGGGACAATCGCTTCCGGTTCTCAATACATTTAACGAGCAATCAAGAGCTCGGTTAAATGACTCGACGAACTACTCATCTAGAGGTCTATCCTCAATAACTCTTCGTAACAAGAGGATAGACGTGAACGAGCAATTCTTGAAACAATTAACACATAAGCAATACCATAACGAACAAGCCTATTCTCAACGAGCCTAGTTCGAATGATCTCTCTCATTCCGGTTCTAAGATCGATTAATTAGATTAAGATGGTGATCAAGCATCTAAAACCCTAGGTTAAGCATAACTCCAAGAGATTGAGCAATTATCATGCAAATAAACGAAATCGACCCTCGTTCTTCTTCTGCGGCGCTGCTTCCGCCTTCTCCAGCCGGCCGCCGGGCTCCTTGACGGCGGCCAACCTATGGCTGCGCGACCCACTCCTTGTGGTGCCGGCTTTTTGCTCTCTCGAGTCGGTGGGCTATCGACGGGCTGCGAGAGGTTTTCGCTGTTGCTCCTAGGCGCCTTTCCGGGTTGGTGGTCGTCGATCTCTCAGGTGGAGAGGCTGTGGCGGGAGCCGGTGCTTCGGGTGGGATGGGCTGTGGCCCCGACGGCCAGTTTGTGGTGGTTGGTCGGGGAGAGGAGCGTAAGCTCTTCCCCATGTTCCTTTTGCCATGGTGCGTGGTTGAGGGAAGACCGGCGTGTCGAGCTCAGATCCGTGGTGTGGGCTGGGCTCAGGGTGGTGGTAGTGTGGTGGGGTTGTTGCTCGTTTTTCCTCCGGCTGTGGGTAGGGTCGGTTGCTTGGGTGCGGGCTGAGCCCTAGGATTTAGTTCAAGTTAGTCGCGCAAGTTGCAGTTTCGGGTTCGGGCGAGATTCGGTCCGTTTGGGTGACTGACCTTCAGTGGTGCTGTCGTGGTTGCTCGGTGTGTTATTCCCGGCTGTGAGAAGGGCTTTAGTTTAATTTTTAGCTTGTGTTTGTGTTTTTATGTTTTTGTGGGTGTTTCGTTCTTGTTGAGTGTTTTGTTTTATCTCCTTTAGGAGATCATGTTATTCTCCTGTGGGGAGTTTGTTATTCTTCTTTGGGGAATTTGTGTATTCTCCTGTGGGGAGTTTTTTTTATTTTTTCATTTTCGTATTATGGTGTGTGTTGTGGATTCTAGGCTGCCTAGTTAGTCCCTATTCCGACTATTCAGTCGGCTGTAATTATGTGTTTTAGTTAATGAATCTATCGTTTTGAAAAAAAAAAAAAAACCAGAACGACAATCCCCTACCTCTAGCTAATGAATTTAGCTACTCATAATGCATTCAACATCAACATATACAATAATCAAAGCCATCTCAATCATGAAGAAAACGAAATGAAAGCTTACGATTAATGAATCCAATGTCGAAAACAAGAACAGCTGAATACAAAAGTCGAATCTCCAAGTTTTTACACTTCAAGATTGAACCCCAATCAGAAGCCAAGAGAAATCTGAGTTTTTTAGGTGAAAGAACGAGAGGAAAGTTTAAAACCTAGGATAGAGCATGATCCCCCGATTTTACAAAACTGTTCATTAAAAAACTGCAATTCGCGGCTTCCGCGGCCGCGGAGAAGCTCGCGGGCTGCGGTGAAGGAACGCTCCGCGGCCGCGACTACTCCAGCGGCCGCGACAATTCTGCTCAGTGGAACCTCCACGACTGTGACCTCCTCCTACGCGGCCGCGGCGAAGAAAACTGGGCGCCGAGGTGAATTTGTTCACTGCGGCCGCGGGAAG